AAAAGTACATTCTATACATAAATAAATTCTAACATAAAATAAAAAAATATATTAATAGGCTGGCCAAAGGGCTAACGACCGAGGTCTCTTAGTACGGGAACATACATTTAAATATGGAATAATAACAGTATTATAATAATAATTTACAAATGAAAAACAGAACAATGAGAGAAAAAAAAGCAGCGGAGTAGGAACAAGTGTATATCAATCGAGGGACATTAGGTATTGGAATATGGATAATGTGGGATATTTAAATTTGGGAAGAATAACAAAATTCTATTAACATCGAATTTGTATATTTTTATATTTATAAAAAATAATAGGAACAAAACAATATTTATTTCTTTTTACTCTTTGGATGTTATAAAGTTTTTATTGATTTTTTTTAATTAAATAAAGTAAGTAGAAGTAATTAAGTAAGAAGAAATTATTTTATATACACTTAGGATACAATTTATGAAACTGACTTTTGCACTGACTTTTGACACCTAATGTTATTAATCATTTAACATTTACGTATATGACAAAACTTATCAATAAACAGAGGTCGGCAAGCAAAGAGCCATTTAAGCCTGTTAAAAATAATCTAGTGAGCCATAAAGATCGCTAATTTTACTACTAGTGAAATGAATTTGCCTACATAATCCTCATTGCGAAAACTAATAGCTGCAAATTCCTCTGGATTAACAATCGCACTTCTTCTTAAATCAGGATTATTTTTTACAAATGTAATATAAAATATTTTGAATGTCATTTAAGTAACTTTTTTAAATCTGTGGTTTTTAGCATTTTTTTCAACAGGAACATCTTTAATTTTGTCTCTATTTTAATTTAATAAATTATTTCAAAACTCAATGAAAAAACGTATTTTGTAACAACTATTTATTGTTTATTTTGTTATAAATATAAGGTAATTTGTCATATTGACATATATAATTATTTAATATTTTTTTATATAGATCTCTGGTAAATTTAATTCCCAAAGTGTTTTTATTGCCTTCAGTGATGCAAAAATATACATGCAGTTTTTTTATGCACTGCTTGGCTATAACTATTGCATTGATATTTACATGAAAAGTATTTCCATACAAAAGACTAAAACTTCCATATAATGAATTTCTTACATATATAAAAATGTATATTTAGAATTCGTTTGTAAATATACTTATGTAATAGAGAAGGTGTGGCCAAACTGAGGCTTGGGACCCGCATGCGGCTCTTCAAGAGTTTTGTTGTAGCTCAAATAATAAATGAAATATTATATATAATTCAGGATATAAATTCAAAACCAATCGTCGTTTGTATCTAACTAATTATAGAAATCAGTATATTGCAACTATCGACAAGAAGTAATTGTTTTATATCTGGAAATATTGAAAAAATTGCTATTATAAAGTTTAGTTAGTAATTTATTCGAAACCAAAAAAAAATCTTGGTAACATTTTATTTTCTATTTGATATAGAACTTCATCAGTATTATATAAATATGAAACTCATTAATGTACAAAAAAAGTGTATATATTCATAATTGGTTTCTTTCTTTGCATTTGCTGACTTCTATTGAATTTGATTTACAAATCGTTTATCCCATTACGCATGTAAATACATATATTTCAAGTGGATGACCTAAATTTATCATTTAAATATAAAACATATATACGAATTTTCCAGCGTTTAATGGCGAAACATTACATACAATTATACTACAAAATCCAATTATTCTCAAAATATATTTTAAATACATTATTTTCAAATACAACACACTTGATGTATAACAGTCAAATAATTAATGATACTACAAATATATAAAAATGTAAATCAAATTTTGTTACTCAAAATAAATTTTGAATAATACAGAAAACTGGACTAATCGAGGACTTTAAAACAACATAAAAATAAACAGCAGAAAAAAGAGTTGATTACACAGGAAAAAAAAAAACATCATTTATGTACAAATTTGTTTAAAATAAATAATTTTGCTTGATTGATATTTAGTTTCAATAGAATTTTCAAATCGTACTGTCAGTGAATCCGCACTGATTAAAGCCGCACTACATGTATTATATTTTACAAAAATTTGAAATGTAATTTTTTTGTCAATAATTACTATACTAATTGATATTTCTCATTTAGTAAGTTTGACTAGTTTAATAGATTTTAATATTATTTATAATTTTTTGTATAATTATATAAGTACATTAAAGAGCAGTAAAAAAAATGAGAGCAAATAAAGTGCATTTAATATTTTATGACTTTCATAGAGGTTTCATCAAGCCGAAAACAACATTTGGGATACGTGCCTAAAAGTGTACTTCAACCAACTTACGTTACACAAGCATACGTTTACAAACCTATATTTTTTGCTCATTTTTATAGTAAAACAAAAAAAAACTATTTATAGAAGTATATTTATATCGACCCAAATTAACTGACGTAAGTGGTGCTTTATAAATTGGTGCACAAAATTGAGGCATAAAACCCGTTTTGGCCTGTAATTTCAAACAGATTATCGACATGCAACATAATTTGGTCGATCCTATCCATTTGAGCCAATATAAAGCCTCGATATTTACAGCCTGGTATTTATTCATTTAAGGATATCGATCAATTAATATCAGCAAAAAAAAACTTGTTGTGTACGCATGGTTATATACAGAAGATTAGTGGATAAACCTCGAGAGGAGCCCGAGGCCAAACAGCAGGATTAAGGTGGAAGCAGAATCAATATTTGATTGAATATAGAAAGTTTCCACTTTTATTTTGTGGATATGAAGCACGTAATTCGCGTATTATGGAATATTATAGTAGAAATATTAGATGCCTCGAGTTCATTTTCTTCTCTCCTTTTTTTTTGGATTGTAATGAGAAGTGGAGGAAGGGAACTTGCACAAAGGCGGCGAAGTTATGATGAGTAGTAATGCAGAAATAAAAGGAAGGCGAAAGTAAGTTGTAATGATAAAAGTTCTCAACTTCTAAACCAACTAATCATAATAAAATATAATCAAATCAATTTTATTCATACCATCAGAAGAACGTTAAAAAAGACGAATGTATCGAGGTATACTTTTTTCTCTTGATGAATTACATTTCATTCAACTGCCTAATTGTTTTTTTTGTTACTTATGACTTTATGATCCAGTTCTTCAAGTGCAATTGATCAAATATAATTCAAATTGAACCATCAATACCCCATTATTTGAAACCGGACTAATTAAAAAAAAACATACAAAAGGAAACTAAACTGTTTCTTTTTGCCCTACCTACGAGCTAGTGAGCGCAGGTTCAAATCCTGGTCAAGTCAAGGCCCTTTGTGAGCCCTCTCGGTGCTTGTAGCAACAGAACCATCGTTCATCACAGATGGATAGTGAAATGAACGAGGTTCAGCATATGGACCTTCAGCCAAGTTGGTGGACAATAACAGTGTCAAGGATAGCAACAGATTCACAGTCAAAGGAAATAGTGGAATCGCAGAGCATCAATATACTACTGAAGTTAACCTACAAAACGACAGGCAACCTATAAATTAAAAATTAAAAAATCATCACAATGATAACTATCCACCGGCAAAGATTACCTTCCTGAGTAACTTAATTTTACTCAATGTTCACATTGATGAACAGATTGTGAATAAAATTACATGACGTAAAAAAATTTAAATTACTACCAAATGTATTTCTTGTAGATAGAAAACTTGGTAATCATAGAAATTAAGTGGAATATATGTGTAATACAAAGCACTTCTATCACCGCTATTTGGCTGTAATTTGCAGTAAAAAAAGTAAAGCGATACAAAATTTTATTTAACCTGGCATTTGTACATTTCCTTTACATATAAAATTATTGAAATTTTAAAGGAAACGGAAAGATATTCTAAGAAAAGATATAGTTTTCTCCTATTAATTACTAAAGGTCCTTAGAATCGATTTTTCTAAATTCATGTTAATTCAATAACCTAGCTTCTTGTTGCATAAATATATAATAAAATATACCTGATTTTACGACCCCAATAAATGTGTCCAGCCATTTTTGCATTCGGGCAAATTAATTACTATTTTTACTGGGCTAAAGGGTGGGTTTTTCTAAATTCATGTTAATAATATAATATACCTGATTTTACAACCCCAATAAATGAACCCAACCACTTTGGCTTGTTGGCAATATTGATAATACCTTTGCAAAAGGGATGTACTATAAAAGATCAGCTAATCATTGCAAATGCATCAGTTTCTTGCAAACACTTGTAGCAGTAACAACGCAAACTATCAACAAAACTAGAAAAATGTATAAGTTTATATACGAGGATATCAGTGATGACGAGGAAATGCTATGCTTCGATGAAATGAATTGTATTTACAATACCATCAGTAAAAATCACATGGATAAAGAAGTAATATGTATTGAAAACGGTAATGATGAGGTAGATTTAAGAAACGTCGATGATGATGCATTATCTTCCGACAAGAAAATGAATTCTTTCAACGAAAGTAATATCTCAAAGTGCTTCACCACCAAGTGTGAAAATAATGGTGATGATGAGATAGATATAATATCCTCCGACAGGAAAAGGAAATTTAACGAAGACTCCGAAGATGATGACTGCAAAGATGATGACTCCGAAGATGATTACTCAGAAGATGATGACTCAGAAGATGATGACTCAAAAGATGATGACTCAGAAGATGATGACTCAAAAGATGATGACTCAGAAGATGATGATAATGAAAGCGATGGTCCAATATTTTATTATGAAGAACAAGGAGCATGCGACCGATATTATGAAAAGAGGTTTAATTCGATGCAACGCAGTTATAAAAAATATGGAGTAAAACGATTGCGTTGGTGGTAAAATTTTATATATTTTGTGCTTTATATTTTATAAAATAATATATATTAAATGTACATACTTATTGTTATTCAATAAATTTGAAAATAAAAAACATCATGATCTACCTATTTACCTAGTTATCTACTTCTAAGAAAATATATATTTTTTAGAAAAAAAATAATATCTCTTTTATTTTTTAATATGGGAGACTAATAACCAAATGGTTAAGTGACCCGGCCCCCGTGCTAGTGTTTGACCAGGATTTGAACCTGTTAAATCCTGGTCAAGCCAGGCCCTTTGTCAGCCCTGTGTGAAAGGAAATAGTGGAATTGCAGAGCATCAATATACTACTGAAGTTAACTTACAAGATGACAGCCAACCAACAAATTAAAAAATTATCATAATGTCAACCGCGAACTTAAATTTACTCAATGTTCACATTGATGAACAGATTGTGAATAAAATTACATGACGTAAAAAAAATAATATTACTACCAAATATATTTCTTGTAGGTATAGAAAACTTGGTAATCATAGAAATTAAATGGAATATATGGGGAATACAACGCTTATGTTATAACACTTCTATCTTCCGCTATTTGGCTGTAATTTGCAGAAAAAAAAGTAACGTGAGACAAAATTTTATTTAACCTGATATATGTGTATTTACTTTATAAATAAAATTATTGAAATTTGTTTTTAAAGGAAACGGAAAGATGTTCTAAGAAAAGATATAGTTTTCTCCTATTAATTACTAAGTGTCCTGTGGGTTTTTCTAAATTCATGTTAATTCAATAAACTTGCTTCTTGTTAAATAAATATATAATAAAGTATATCTGATTTTACAACCCTAATAAATGAGCTCAGCCATTTTCGCATTTCGGCAAATTGAATACTATTAATTTCTATTTTTAGTGGGCCAAAGGGTGGGTTTTTCTAAATTCATGTTAATAATATAATATACCTGATTTTACGATCCCAATAAATGAACCCAACCATTTTGGCAAATTTATAGTACATCCCTTTGCAAAAGTGATGTAAATTTTATATATTTTGTGCTTTATATTTTATAAAATAATATATATTAAATGTACATACTTATTGTTATTCAATAAATTTGAAAAAAAAAACATCATGATATAATTATTTCGACCATTTACCTAGTTATCTACTTCTAAGACAATATATATTTTTTAGAAAAAAAAAAAAATCTCTTATTTTTTAATTTGGGCGACTAGTAGCCGAATGGTTAAGTCACCCTGCCCACGTGCTAGTGCTTGACCAGGATTTGAACCTGTCAAATACTGGTCAACCAGGCCCTTTGTGAGCCCTCTCGGTGCTTGCAGCAATAGGGCCATCGTTCATCACAGATGGACAGTGAAATGAATGTGGTTCAGCATATGGACCTTCAGCCAAGTCGATGAACAATGACAGTGTTAAGTAAGCAGTCAAAGAAAATAGTGGAATCGCAGAGCATCTATATACTACTGAAGTTAACCATCATCATAATGGTAACTATCCACCGGGATCTTAAATTTGCTCAATGTTCACATTGATGAACAGACTGTGAATAAATTTTCACGACATAAAAAAATAACGTTTTATATTAAATTAATATTTCACTGTTCAACATTTTATTAAATTAATTAAGCTTTTATTTGTTCATGTGAAAATGTTATTTAAAGTCATTGGCTTCAATTAGTATCGGTGAATTGGAAAATATTATTTAATTAAAGCACAAGAATTATTTTCATAAATATGAAATTTTAGGTTTATTTAATTTAATTTAAAAAAAGTGATGTTGAATATTATAAATAGAAGAAGATAAACCTTTCATATTTTAATTAATAATAATTTATATATCAATTCCAAAAATTTTCTATTTTTTGTTAGATATTTCAATTTGTCTCTGCCAAAGGATAACGACCACCCATCAAAGTATTAGCCAGAAAAGGTGACGTTTAGCTATATTAATTTAGATCTCTAACAGCAAGATCATCTTACAGTAAAAACAGAAGACCCGTATGCGGGAGGTCCATTCAGGCCTATAATAAATTCGATCTTAAGGCCTATAAATGTCACCTCAAGTGAAGGCCCATCGTTATTACATAATAAATGACGGTTTAAACACCATAAAAAGACTATTAACAGGAAGAAGTTGTACAGAAAGGTTATAGGAATCAATATATTTTGCAACCATCGTCGAGTGCAATTTACGTAAGATACAGAAAAATGCATTGGAGTAGTAATCTGGATAAGTGCTTCTGAACCATGAACATCTGAGGAGATCATGTCTCTGCATTTCTCATGCTCCCAATCGTAAAATCCTCAAACAAATATTGGTATATATATATGGTTCAAATTTAAAGTGATTTGTAATATTATTTGTTATATAAATAAATATTTACAAGAAACAAAAAATTGAAGAACGTATAAAGTGCATTTAATATTTATTTTATTCCAGTTCAAATGTGCCTCTAATTTGATTTACTATATAGTTCGTTACATAATTTACCAAAAACATCATTAAAACCCTGTTTTTGGGTAATATATTAATTATGAAAAGAAAATAATATTATCAATTATATATGTTTTTTCAAAATTAATTATATCAATTATTGTTTTTATAATAAATTATTATTGGTAAATTGAATTGAAGTAGCTTTGAGTATATCAAACAAATTAATAAACGTTTAATTAGCAATTTCTCGTATCGCAAATAATTATCGAAACATTAATTATGTTTATTTTTATCTTTAAATACAAATTGAATGGAAATTTATTCCCACCATTAATAATCGAATGCAAATAAATTATTTTCTATTAATATTTTAGTGTAAACAATATGGATAATGCATATTAATAAAAAAAAAATGTTTATGTAACGTAATTAAATTGAAATATTTCGGTATTATTGCACAACGCGTTCCCTAAAATCTATAATGGTAGCAACATGCAAAACAGCATCAATGCATGTGTTTGCAATTTGGACATACAAACACGGCTTGAACGAATACACAAACAAATAAAGTACACTTTTCTGGATTCGTGAATAATAAAAACTTGCTTATAATCACGCTGAAAAGAATCAAATTGAGTGAAACTTTGGTTGAAAAATTTGTGTTTTAAAAATAAAGTAACCCAATTGATTTTAAAATCAGAAAATATTAGATTTTTTTAAAAATTATACAGTTATGAGTTTTTTTGTATCGAATTTCATTGATTCTAATGTAATGGTAACAAAACAGAACTTCGCAATAAATCTGTTTTGTCGTGGAACAAATTGCTTATACAAATAATGTTGATTTGTCATTCTAAATTATAATAAAATTGAACAAATTAAAAAATTTCTTTTAACTTTCCAGTGATTCAATTTGCAAATAATCTATGCTTTAAATGCATTTTATCCATACTAATTAATGAAAGCTAATCAAAATTATGTTCAGGAAATGAAATTTTGTTTGAAATTTTGTATCTTGAATTTTTTTATAATAAAATAAGGTGTCTGTAACTTTTACGTGAAGCAATTTAAAATTAATCTGGGATAACAGAAATTTAATAAAATCATGTATATCATTATAAATTTTTAATGAGAGCATCATTTAAATGTAAATTTAACCAGTAAAGTTTACAGACCTAAAATAATAAATAAAAGATTCAAACTCAAACTTTTTGTGCGATTCATTTGATTATCTTTGAACATTTCTTTAAATTAATTTTTTCTACATGATTTCATCAAAATTTAATGAAGTTAACATTGCATTTTTATGAATGTAAGCGTATTTCAATAATATTATTTTGTTGTGACGGAAAGACAAAATTTAATCGTACCAATGATTTCCTCTCTCTTAAGTTTGTTTTCATTCGCTTATCATGATGATGAAAAGTGCTCCGAAACATCCCCAAAAGAATCGACCCCTGACATTATCGCAGCTTTATAGATCGATAAGCATAACGTTGTTCCAACCCCAACCTCCGCAAGAGACCGAGACCTTTTCCCTAATTCTGTCCCAATTCATTCCACCGAAACGACCCGAAAAAGAAGAGACTAGATAGAAACAGAAAAAAAAACAAGCCGTTACATTTTTTGTTGCCTGACGCACTCGAAACATCGGATACCAATAACAGTTTAATAGGGCCGTTATCATTTCGTAGCAAAATATTGCAACTTCTCCCTTAATTTGGTTTAGATAGTTTTCTTAGGGGGTGGTGAACTTTTAGCGGATTGAATATATATTTCTTTTTTGCCTTTTGGGAGCACTCGGAACTTTGCACTCTCGCTTTTCCATCGACGAACTTTTTGTTTTCTTTTGCGCCCTTAAAGGGAAATTGCCTGAAAGCGAATCCTTCGATAATTAAAAGAAAAGAGAGAGAGAGAGAGAAAGAACAAAAAAATAATTAAGTTGTTGGTATCGATCGATAATCGCTGAAGCTCATTACCAGTTTGCACATTACTTCGTTTGATGGAATTAAACCCTTGTCAAAGGCACGCGTACGAATGCGGTTTCAATTACGTACCGTGTACGACAGGTAATGGTTATTAATAATTAATATATATATAAAAAACGAATTTCATGAGGTAATTTTCTTTGCACGTCGAGAAAGGAACTTTTTTGCGTGCTTTTATCTTGAAGGTGGGGGTGAAAATGATCTTGATGAGATAGTGTAGAACTGTTTCAGGATTCTCTATTAAAGAGTCTTAATGACTGCTCTTTCTGTAGGCCAACGGGAACAGAGAAACAATAAACAGGACCATTTTGATGCGGATCCTGAGAAGGATTGTTCTTTTTTTCAGGTTTCGATTTTTGTTCGTTTCGCAACTGGCACAAAACGTATTTAGACACTATAATTATTTTCCGACAGGTAAGGAAAAGCTATAGGGAGAGCAGTAATTGCATCCAATTGTAGGTTTTTCATTGTTGCATGTCCTGCAGAAAATGATGCTGTATTTTAGTGTATATAGTAAGGATTGAGTATTGAAACGAATATATATATATATATATATATCATAGACATTTAAT